CACGATAAACTCTATACATTTGGTTTGATTTATTTAGATGGACTCAGAATCAGACCCATGTAACTTAACAATACTGTCTAATCCAATCTCAGATTGAAGAAAATTTGTTACCTTAAAATAAATGACGCAAATTTGACACATCACATTAAATTACAGATAGGGAAAATGAGTTGTGTAGGTGAAATGATAGTCGTGCCCCTTAATTGTTGTTGATAGGCGCATGTGAGGGCCATGTGACGTATTTTTGACCAAAAAATTTAAGGATAAATTATGCAAATGGTCCCTGTAGTTTAGTCATTTTTTCATTTTGACCCCTGTTGTTTCAATTTGATTAATTTTGCTCCTTAATTTTACGGATTGTGTCATATTAGTCTAATAAATCAAATTAAGTTTAATGGACCAAAAATCAAATGATGTTTCAATTTGATCCCTGTAGTTTACAGGATGTGTCTATTTGGCCCCTGTAATTTATAAGAAAGTCAAAACAACAAGGACCAAATTGACATATTCTATAAACTACGTTGACCAAATTGAACATCATTTGATTTTTTGTCCATCAAACTTTACCGCTATTATTTATTGGACTAATATGACACAATCCATAAAATTAAGACGCACAATTGACCAAATTGAAACAATAGGGACCAAAATGAAAAAAAGATAAACTACAGAGACTACCACTGTAATTTGCCCAAAATTTAACGTGCATCAATTATTGGACTTGTTTAACACAACAAATTAAATTAAGATTCAAAATCGAATCAATTTAAACTTTTTATATAACATAATAAGTTTCAATATTTTTTAGATATATCACCAAAATATTTTATCGAAATAAATTCAATGTTAAACAGCATTTCTCTTAAGAAAATTTTGTCACAAGCCCCCCCTTCCAAAAAAAAAAATAGAAATTGAATAAATTACAAATACACATCTTGAGACTTGTTTAAAATACAGATTGCCCTTATGGTTTGAAAATTTACAAACACCCCATTGTTATGATTTTTTTTATTTAATAGAATTAACTGAAAAAAATAAAATTCATAACTGCTCTCCTATACAATAATAAAATTACTTGAATTATTAATTGAAATAAATTTCTGACATCATTAAAAATTATTAATTGACTTAATGATTTATTAATAAAAAATGTTATTTGTTATGAAATTGTAAACCTCAAGGGTGGGATGTAATTTTTAGAACCACAAGGGACAATTTGTATTTTTAGCAAATCTCAGCGAGTGTATTTATAATTTATCCATAAAAAATATTTATTATTGAATTTGTTTCATTACTTTATTTTCTATTTGTATTCAGAAAAATAAAAGTCATATATACATATGGGGTCATGCTACTCTTTGTACACATATTATCTATATGCACAACTATTTGTTCAAATGTCCTACAATCTGTACACGTGTCACCTATTTATGCAATTATCTATTCAAATATCTAACTATTTGTTTAAATGTTCACTATACAAGTATCTATTCACCTATTTGTTCAATATCATTTCCACCTCACTACCACCAACTACCACTGCCGGCCAGTGTCCTTCTCAATAAATAAGATTAATACTTAAACTTAATTCTTAATGCACCCTTCAATTTGAATTTACATTAGGAATGGCAACGGGCTGGGGCAGGGCTGGGGATGACACTCCCCGTTCCCGATCCCCAAACGTAAAAAAAATCCCCGTCCCCGCCCTCGATCCCCGGCGGGTAATCACCTCCCCCGCCCCCGCCCACTAACAGGGATCGGGTTTCCCCGACCCTGAAAAATCCCGACAGATCTATTCAACATACACACACATACAAGAACAAAAAAAAAAAAAATAATCTATATAATGGATGATAGATCTGTTCAACACACACACAAGAACAACAATCATCAACAACTTAAAAAAAATATATATATATGTTCATCAACAACAAAAGATTTGTTCATTACACACACACACACACATATATGCAATCAAGATGGAACTTGTGAACGTAACATATATATATATATATATAAAGAGAGAGAGAGTTGACCGTTGATTCCTCCATCGGCACCGACACCAACGAGTCCATTGATCAAGATATCGGACCACGATCTATTTAGATCGGTGGCTTCACGGTTTACGGTTCACGATCTGTTCAGATCGGTAGCAATAAAGGGCTTTATGGACCATGGTTGACGATCTGTTCAGATTGGTGGTAGTAGTGGATTTGGATGATGTTGATGATGATAAGAAGTAAGAGAATGAGAGAGAGAAATTTGAGTGAGGGAGAGAGAGATGAGAGATGCGGTGAGACTGAGAGAGAGATAAGTGAAAGTGAGATGAGGGTTTGGTTTATATCTATAGAGGGGTCTAATAATAATTTCACTTCGGGGATAAACGGGGATGGGGATGGACCGGGTACGGGGCTGGGACACTTATCCCCGTTCCCATCCCGAAATTGATAGGGGATTAATTTGTGAATACCATTCCTGCCTCGTTGGGGATATTTTTCGAGAAAAAACTGCTCAAATCGGGGTCGGGGGGTCGGGTCCCTGTCGGGTTGAGTTCAAATTACCATCCCTAATTTACACACAATTTTTTCTTTTGAAAAATATATAATATAAAAATTTCAAACTTAAAAGAAAGAAAAAAAACTCGCATTAGGGATTGGGTTTGGGATTGGCTGACCCTAGGTTGCCTTCCCAACTCCCAGCTACTCTAGCTAGGTTGTGTGGTGCTTAAAAAAATAATATATTTAGATTCATTTTTTAGATTCAGGTCGGTACTTAAATATTTTTTAATTATCAATGAATTATTTTCTTAACACATAGTTTAGAAAGTAAATTTAATTTTTAAGCTAAATAGCGATACTTCAAATTTATTTCTTGTTTGCTCTATTCTCTGAATTTCTATGTTCAACAAAAAAAGTGTCATAAAAATAATAAAATGGATGAATGCTTCACCTAATACAGACTTATTTATGGTAGAAAAGAGTGAGTCAACAATGATAAGTCTTCACAAGCACTAAGAGTTTTCAAGGGCATCTTAGATATTTTCAAGGGCACTCAGATTGCGGTTTGATTTTCCAACTGATTTCTGTCTTATTCTTTCTTGCGGAAAGTGCCATCAGATTACAGGTTCGATTTTTCGTTTTTGCTATTTCTTTCTTTTTTGTAATTATCTGTTGTGTTGAATTTTTACAAATCTGTGATAGTGGGTTCCCTCTTGTTGCAATTCTTGTGTGTTTTTCATAGAAGTGGTTGTTTTCAATGCTTTTGCTACAGTCCAATCCTTACTTTCTCCCTTTTTTTTTCCATCAAATCTTCTTGAAAATCCATTTTTGATTTAATGAAAGAAAATCATCTCTAATCCTTATAAATTTAAGCAAAGCATGACTGTTGATAATTTGATGAAAGATTTGGTTCAATCTTGATTTAGTGAAAAATTTGCCTCTCTTTTGATTTGATACAAGTTTAATAAAATGATTGGAGCTCACTTTAACTTTTTATTCATCATATTTGAATTTGATAAAAGAATTGGTGAAAGATTGGAAATGTTGTGAATTGTGATGAGAATTTGGTTCATTGAAACGAGATGAAATAGTCATTCGCTTAGATTAGACCATCTCCAATCTTTCACTAATTTTTTTCATCTAATTTGATTTCAAATTTGAGTAAACACTTTGATTTCATATAACTACTACAATCCTTTCATCGGATTTTCATCCAAATCTTTTTAAAAATTCCCTTCTTATCCCAAATTTCACTTTTCATCAAATTTAATGGAAAAAAAGTCATCTCCAATGCTTCATTCTTTTTAAATTTTTTTATCAAATTTAAATTTGATGAGTTCTCAATTTAAAAAATAAAAAATAAAAAAATGACTCCATTGATTTGATGAAATTGGAGATGATTTTTGAGCACTTTTTCATCAAATTAAAAAAAAAAGATGTGTTAACTTTCTTTAGGTTGGTTGTGTAGAAATTTATACAAATATGCGGTTATGGTTTCTCTCTTGTTCCATTTCTTCTATGTACGTTTTTCTTAAAAGTTTATGTTCTGTTTGTTGATCTGGTATGCAAAATCCCAGTCCTTACTCTCTTTTTTAATCAAATCTTTTTTAAAAATTTCAAATTTATCCTGAAAACCTCTTTTAACCATTTTTTATGAAAGAAAATCATCTCCAATGATTACTCTTTTTAAAATTTCATCAACTTTCATCAAATTTAAGTAAAATATGAATGTAGGAAATTTGGTGAATGATTTGGTGAGCATCTCCAATGCACTAGGCATATAATAGTTGTTAGTTAAAATGCCTAGTATGATTCACTTTTTTCAATTCCAATGCACTAGGCATATGATTAGGCATTTTGGCTCAACTCATATTCACTAGCTACATGTAGCTAGCCTTCAACGCTAGGCAAAATGTATTCAATCATTAGGATCATTTCCCTCCATCTTTGTTGTTGACATGGCATTCTATAAAATTAATAGTATTTGGATTAATAGCTAAAATAAAGAGCATGGTTGGAGTAGAAACATGAAACAGTTGACATGCAAAATAAAATGTATACTTTATAGTAATATTTAGATAGGTAAAATGCCTACTACCAAATCTCTCCCTAAAAAAATTCAAAACAAGATACAAATTCACATATTTTGGGCCAATTTGAGAACATAATTAAAACTTAAAAGTTAACTTTTAACCTATTTTGAACCATATCATCTCTTATATTTTTTACATTTTAAAAAAAAAAAAAAATCAAAAAATCAGTTTTTAACCATCTTCCCAAAATGAAATCAATTTAGAAAGTCTATGTACGTTATAAACTAAAACTTTTGGTCAACATAATTCAAATCTTAAGTAATATTCAGTCTGTATTTGGTTCATAAATGTAGATAGGAATTTAAAAATGAAATTGATGAAAATGAAAAAGGTGTGTGAAATTTAAGGAAAATGAAATTGTATTTCATTCATATTTCACTTATTTTTTTATTTTTTTATTTTTTTTCAAATCCCTCATTAAATTTATAAACCAAATACAGACTCAAATATTTTTTCTAAATTGATAATAGACATTAATTACTTACCATAAAGTCCACTAGTTGCCAACCGATACAAAAGTGTAACACCTGATCTGTCTTCAAATGGTTTTGGCTCCAGATTTTCTTTGTTGACACCCAAAGGTTTTGGCTCCAAATGTTCTGTGTTGACATCCAAAGATCTAGTGACATCCAATAAGTACAGAACCATCTCTCTAAAACCAAAATTAGCAGCATAATAGAGAGGTACTCGTCCCTTCTTGTCCAGAATATTAGGCAAGATTGTGTTCCTCTGCACTAATAGTTTGGCTGCCTCAACATTACCAGTTATTGAAGCTTCATGAAGGGCTGTCCTGCCTCTGGAGTCGACTAGAGCTAGATCCTCTGGTGACATCTTCTCTATTAACTTCTTCACAAATTCATTTCTCCGCGCCAACCTAATGGCGACGACAAGTGATGTTTGTCTTAATCCAGTGACGGGAACCCTGACTGCATCTGGTTCTTGTTCTATAAATTTGTTGGCGCTCTCCCAATCACCTTTGATTGCAGCTATGTGCAGTGGGAGGTAATGGTTTACTTTCTGTCTTTCTTCTTCTGTCATCCAATTCAACACACAAATCAGCTAACAAAAAGGTTGATCAAATTAAAGATGAAAATAAAAGGGAAACTACATGGGAATTTTTGTGGGATGTAACTTTTTTTTTCCTGTGTTTTTTTACTATACTAAAAAGATTTGCACCCCACGCACTTGTAATTATTTTTGGTCAAAATACAGTGACTTGTAGTTTCCCTAAAATAAAATGCAATGGACAGGAGTGATCCTTTTTCATGTTGTGGCATTAATAGTTTTTTTAGATCTTTCTTGCCAAAAAAGAAAAAAGAAAAAAAAGAAAAAAGGAAAAAGATTAAGATCCCCACAAACCCTCTCCTAATTTTACCCTGACAATGACAAAGGTTCGAGTTACGTGTCAACTATCAATTTGTTACAAACTCAAACATGTAAGATGTAAAATTACCAACTTAAATGGAGAGCCATAGTTTCCAAACAGTCCTACCATTTATAGTTTTCAAAATAACCCTCCATATCTAACAATGTCTCATTCTGCCTAATTACCTTGTTCGTGGAAAGCTTGAGATGGATCACACATTTTCTCCAAGGCAGTCCACACCTCTCTAGCAGTCTTATATTGAATCACGCGTAGTCGGTTATCTAAGTCAAGTGTGGTGATGATCCATCCTCGTACAAGATCGTCTGATCTTTTCCAGGATTTGTAGTCCTCATTCTCAATCTCAATCTCAATCTCGCCTCCAGCATCTGCGACTGATGTGGTGACCTTTTCAGGTGGAGCCTCAAGTGTGCCATTGATGAAACCAACCACGCCTCGACTCTGAATGAAGTCGAGCATCGGTTGTTTCCACTCAAAGTTGTTAATAGTATTATTATATGTAGATATTATAATCGTAGATAATCTATGCAGATATTATATTAGATATAGATAGTTGGTGCATAGTTGTTGCTAGCCTAGCACAGAGATGCTTTCTTTTCCTTTTGCTATCTTTCGGTGGCTTCATCATTTTGTCTTGAAACTCATCTCCTATATAATGGAGGTTCCATTTGGTTGCTAAATACATCAAATATACAGAGCTAATTTGCTCTCTCAATCTCTCTCAATTTCTTATATGGTATCAGAGCGATTTTTCATAAGAAACAACCATGTAAAACGAGAAAAATCATCTATAAAAACAACAAAATAACGTGCGCCTCCCATAGTAGGAGTAGGAGAGGGTCTCCAAATATCA